TGGGTTTCAACAGTTTTTGCAAACAAAACATGAAAAGTGTGCCATACATTTCTCTCCACCACTTATACTCCAATACTTGTGAACAAATATGTCACTGATTACATGTGCAGCTTCAACTGGTCTGTAATTTACTCTAAGAGAACAAACATGGGCCAAGGATGGCGTACTGCAGAACTTTAAGTGCTGGAGAGCTGCAGAGATCCACATCTCAGGAGGTCGACCTTACAGCTAGTACCCCTTCAGGCAGAGTGGCAATAATTAAAGCCGCTGTTGGAAGAAAGTTATGAGAAATCTCGATTTGCACTGAGGATGATTGTGGACAAACTGCTCTCACTGTGAAACAGGGTGGTGGTAGGATCATGATGTGGGGTTTGTTTATTTGAGCCAGTACATGGATCCACATGGGGCAATCTAGACAGCCTGTTAGAAACTGTGGAAGGATTAACCTTCCGTAGATCAGCTAACCTAAACATACAGCCAAAGCTACTCAAATACAGGAATGGAATGGCCCAGTCAAAGACCAGAATTAAACTGAATTGAGAATTTGAGGCAGGACTTAAAAAGGGATGCTCCCGTTCTTCTATTTCAAAGTTTTGCCCTTGGACTATCACACAAAATCCCTCTAATTTTGCTTAAAGTTTGTGGCTGTTACATCTCAATAGTAAAAACGTAAAGGGTTTGCAAGGCAAACCTTAGCCTCCGAAAGTCATGCAGCTGTTTCACCTCTTGCTCTAGCGCTCATGCTGTAAACATTCACTTGTAACTTGCATCAGAGTGAGCTTTAACTAATGTACCAGTCAGTCTGTCCCATTAAAGCCCAGAGAAATCCCTGGGCAGCCCGCTGTCCAGTTTGTTCTCCTCACTGACACTAAACAGAAGCTAGGTACCACAGCATTCACACCAGCTAAACAACCTTCACCTCTCCAGGGAGATGTGCCTTTTCTTTCCCTACACATCCGCTGGCGACTTTAATGAAATATGCAGCTGTCTTTTAATCAAAGCAAGTCCCATTTGCATATGGGCAAGATACAGAGGAGGGCGCAGCAGCCCTCTGCCGCGCACACGAGTGCCCTGATTTAGAAGCAGGAGGGAGATGGAGGGAAGGTGGAGGAGGGAGGTGTGGATAAAAAGAGGTGGGGTAAGGAGGGGATGGGGGGGTTCGGAGGAGTAGGGGTGGGCATGGGTTGAAACCAACCAAACCCAAACACATAGATTGATGTGGCACATTTGCATACCTCAACAACAAACGTGGGTGCAATGCTTCATATCCAGTGGGGCTCAAGAAAAAAAGGCAAAGAATCAGAGGAATCCGACACCATGTGTGTCTCTGCGGAGACGGGACGCATCTTTACTGTAGTTTTGCCGGTGTTAATTATCACAGTGTGGCAATTATCAGAATGTGGTCTCACTAAATGCAAAGTTAATGACCAATAAATGACCCTGTGTGTTGGTGACTCAGATGGCACAGCGCTGGAAGACAGAGGAGGTGTGAGCGAGGCTACTGCGCTCTGTTTTTAGACGTCTTCATGCCTGCAGATTAATTCAAATGCGAGTAACAGACAGATACAACAACATCCTGTTGCGTGTGTTTAAGAAGCACGCAGATGAAAGACGGGCTTGTTTAAATGTGTGTTTGGTACAGACGGGTTCTGGCTCACTTCGCTGACGTTGAACTGGAAGTGTGTCTGCTTGGCTTTCTGCCTGTCTGCCTGCAGCAGCTCTGCCAGGCTCTACAGAGCCAACAGTGATTAAAGAATAGATGATTCCATCAGATCAGAATGTTTTACTTCAAAATAGTTCTTTGTATATTTAGTATTTTCTCGCAGGAAGGCACTATTACCCTGTTGTGATGGAGAAAGCTGAACAGGAGGGTGGTTATGTTCTTGCATGCGTTTCTTGCTCATATTAACTCTTTTGCCTTTGGAAAACCCTGAGAGTTTTATGCTCTTGGTGGTTTAAACACGTGTGGTACAATTTATGCAAATGAAGCTGAACTGAGGAATAACTCACCACCACTACATTTTGATAAATCTAAGCAACCTTATAAACCCTTATTGAATTTTCGTACAATATCTCCCACATGGTCTTGTCTTTTAAAAAGTTTCTCTGTCTTTCACCTGAACTTGACCCTCACAGTTTCTGTTAATTGCCATTTCTTAATTATATTTTGAGCCCAGGAATTAGCTATCTAAAATACTTTTTTTTTTTTTCCTTTTTGTTATCAGCATTGATTATTTTAATGTTCAAAGTGGTAAGTCTGTCCAGGAGCTTATGGCTGCAGATTACTGAGACAAGGGTTTGGGGAGTTCTAATAATGATTGTTAAAAAAAATTATAGCCTTAAAATATCTAATTGAGAAATAGGTCCTTGCTAGAAGTCTTTAGAAGTTATAATTGCAAATCTTCAAGCTGCTGCACAGAAGTAAGTTCTTATTTTCATACATGTTGTGCATGTTTTAAACATTTAAAGTTTGGGTTCTGCTGCTGTTCATGGTTCCTAATAATTTGATGAAAAGATCCAGTGTTTTACATGTGAAAGCAAACTATTTTTCACATTTTTTCACCTTACAGGCACAAGAACAACACAAAATGTTATTGGTTATTTTATGTAACAGACCAAGACAAAATGTCCCACAAATGTGCAGTGGAACGAAAAAGACAAATGGCTTTCAACATACTAAAAATTGATATTACATGTTGCAAAAAACAAAAAGAAAATTACGGCATTGTGTATGTTCTCACCCCTATTTGTTCTGATACCCCTAAATAAAATAAAGTGTTACCAGTTGCCTTAAAAGGTCACCTAAATCATAAAGAGTCCACCTGTGTGAAATCTAAACTGAACCCAACTTGCGGTTCTCTGTTCAGATAAAAATGTAAAGTTGGAAAATTACTATTGCATGTCATGCTAATTACAGGTACAGTTAGACTTTGTAATTGGCCGTAAAATGTGAGGTGAAAATGCGGGTGGGGAGGCAGAAAGTACTAAGCCTCACTGATAGGGGGGCAGTGCTGAGCTCTATAAGCGCAATATGCAACAGGTGCAAGTGAAGCAGCCAGACTTTTAAAAATGAAGGCAAGCAACAAAGCGACTCAGGTATCAGTGGAGAAGGAGAGATGCTTAGAACTCGTATACAAATAAAGGAAATTTCCAATCTCAATAAGCACATTTAAATAAAAAAATGTGAAATTGAATATTATAGCCTATAAATATTTTATTTTTCTTGCTATATTGTTTAACAGTAAGCTTAATTAAAAGCCTTTAATACAACCAAATATTTTAGTGAAGGTCAAAATTGAAATAAAGCTCTCCATTTCAGTATATCCGGACATCTGGTTCCAGTGGAGTTGGTGCCTCATAAACGTCACTGACTGATTCAATAGAGCTGAATACAAATGTAAGTCACACTTCATATTTTTTGCCAAAGTGTGAAAACCATACAACATTTTCCTTCCACTTCACAATTATACTCTACTTTATGTCTGTCTATTACATAATATCCATAGAAAACACACGGAAGTTTCTGGCTGAAAAGGGAAAAAATGTCAAAAAGTTAGAGAGGTCTAATATAAATACCCTATGTCAGTGTAGCAATTTTGATCCAGTGGTGGGTACATGAAAGAAATAAAACATGCAATTATACTTTGTCAGCCACCAACTGCCATGTATAAATGTTTGCAGAGAGCGGCTTCACCGTTTCTTAGCCTTGGTCCTCGGTGTCTACCAGCCAGCCAGCTGCTCACCGTCAGACAGAAATCTCAACCACACTTCACTTTCCTGTCAATTCTTAATACTCATCATATCTGTGTTGCTCCAGGGTATCTAACTTAAAATTAACTCCCGCTGCTTGTCTTATTTAATGGCTAATTAATTCAGGCCTCCCACAGTTTCACATATTGCCGCTTCGCGTCGTCACATTGCCTGAGTGGAGCGGCGTCTGCTAACTGATGTTTCCTTTTGTTGTTAAGACTTCACTTCAAAGATCTCTTGGAGAACAAGGGCTTTGATGAGTACAGATGAGTAGGAGTCTGAACACTCACTGACATGCAGCATATGTACGGCTACTTCTGAATGTAATCAGTGGAATAAAACACAATATCCTCTGATTAAATCAAATGGTATGAATGAGTTTAGTTATCATGTTAAAGGTTATGTACCACATAGTGCCTGAACAAATGTTGGAATCATAGAAAAATAGTTCTTAAAGCCTTATTTTGACATGTGACAGTATGAAAGACACAGTGACATTAACAATGGAAAACTCCCATCAGTGACCAAATATCATTTTCTGCTTAGATTGGAATGCTGCCATCATTTATGCACTGCTGCATTTCCTGATGTGACATTTTAAAATGTCTTCAGCTGAAAAGGTCTACTAAATGGAACTAGTGCTAATATGTGTCCATAATAATTTTCACACTGTTGCTGCAGCTGAAATGCTAAAAGCTATCATTTTAGCAAAACACTAAACTAAACATCACAAATGAACAACTTAAAACAACAAAATGCAACAAGAAGCACGGAAACTGAAATTGAGTGCAATTTGGTTCAAAATTATTCTTTCCACAGACCAAATTCTGATTAAACTAGTCTTTTAATTTTACCAACATGTTTCTCCTCACTGGAAGTAATATGAATGTTTTAAAGTTGCCAAACTTGAATATAATATCCAATAATAATGCTTTGCTACTAATTGTCATCACAATTAGCACTTTTTTCTCAGAATTCTGAGATTAAAGTCAGAACAGATTTTTAGTTTTGCAAAAGTAAAAATCAGATGTTTACTTCATGGCACTTGGTTACCAGAAAACGCGCTAATCATTGAAGTTGCATTGCTAGATTTTCTAAGCACACGTTATTTTGAAACTTAACAGATGGATATTTGTCATAACCACTAAAGGTTGGTTTTCTTTTGGATCTCTTGTCCCCAAGAGTCGATCACGGAGAAGCAAAAGACAATGAAAAGTGTTTGATGAAAATAATGTGTTTGAACAACTTACCTTATTGGGCTTCTGTTCTTAGAAGCTGTGTGCGAGTCAATTTATCCTTTTTTACTCTAAAAATCACTGGTGCTAAAATGTGTTCCGAGTGCCATTCAATGTGACTGTGTGTGCTACTTAACCTGTTGAGTTCAACACAACTTTTATATGTTGTATCCGCATTTGGCTTATCAGAGATGGGCTAATGTTGGAAGCTAACTGTCAAATGTGAACGACATGTTAGAACTAGAAAATTCCTGAAGAAATTTAACCGGGGCATGCCAAAGTGTGCCCATCGGTTTTTAATCAAGCCTTCTGATGCTAAAAAATAGCATTAATGCTAAAGAAAGCTGCAATGTAGTTAATAACCAGTGGAAAGTCAGAAGCATGTGGACTAAGCTGTACCTGTACCATTCAGTATGTTAAAATTAATGCATAAGCTAAAATTAACCAAAATGCTAATGTTAGCTTGAAGACTATCAGTAGCATGTGGGGCATTGACTTACTCCATTCAGTATACTAAACATGGGAAATAAGTAAGAAAATTAACTAATAGGTTATTTTAGGTAAAATGCTAATGCGTGCAAGGAAGTGCACTAGTGGGTGGCAGTGAAATGCTAATGTTTGTACTGATGTTAATGAACGTTCACTATCCTGAGGAAAAAAAATGTGAAAAAAGCTTAATATTATTGCAACGCCTACGGCGTTGCACTAGCATGAGAGGAATATGCAGACTTTTATTTTGAAACTTTCAGTAGGCTCATTTTAACCACCACACCAATTCATAGTGTAACAGTAGTTTGTTTAAACCATTCACATAAAGCCCAAAGCTGATGTGAAAAATATCAAGGCTTTTATTTTGAAATTTTCATTAAGCTTCATTTTAATTGACCACAACAATAAAATGTGTAACAGTGGTTGGGTTAATCCAACTATATAATGCCCAAAACAGCAAGTAGTTCTAAATGCCAGTTCAGCCCTAATCTGTGGTATCTGAGTTCCGCCATGTTGTAGTTCTGACCTTCAGTCATTGTAGTTCTAAAGAGCAGCTCAACTATCATGTTAGTGAGACACACAGGGAGAGACAGAATTCTAACTGTTTGAAGCAGTTAGTTTTTCTGATCAAAGCGGCTTACTGTTCAGCATCCATAACAGCAATCCGAAAACTTTTTGAAGCATATAAGAGGGCAATTTCTTGTCTCCGATGGAACCACGATTTAAATC